ATAATGCCGTAAACACTGGTGTGCAATTATCTGTTTGAGCACCTGTCTTCAGTGATTGGAGGTATATACTTAGCAGTGGAATTGTTGGGTCCCATGATAACTTATCAACTTAATGTTTAACCTTTTGAATAACTCCCAAACTGTTTTTTCCCCACAGTGGTTGCATCATTTTTACATTCCCTCTAGTAATGTAGGAGAGTTCTGATTTCCCACATCCTTGTGAATGCTTGTTATTTTCCATTAAAAAAAAATTTGATAGCCATCCTAGTGGGTGCCCATCCTCTCAGGAACCCACTCGAATCAGGTTTTCACCTAGCACGCAAACTGAAACTGTTCTGAAGATCACCCGTGACCTCTCTGTTGCTAAATCCCAACTTAATTTCTCTGATAGGATCTAATTTGGCATGTCGGCAACATTTGTCTTAGTTGACTTCTTGAAATCAACTTTCCTCACTTGGCTTCCAGGACAGTACACTTGCTTGGTTTGCTTCCCCTCTTGCTGACTGCTCCTTCAGAATCTCTTTCTCTTGGGGGATGCCCGGGTGGCTCAGGGGGTTGGGCGTCTGCCTTCGGCTCAGGTCATGATCCCAGGGTCCTGGGATCGAGCCCCGCATCGGGCTCCCTGCTCGGCGGGAAGCCTGCTTCTCCCTCTCCCTCTGATCCTCCTCCCCGCTTGTGCTGTCTCTCTCTGCCTCAAGTAAATAAATAAAATCTTAAAAAAAAAAAAAATCTCTTCCTCTGGTTCTTTATCTTTTTTTTAAGATTTTATTTATTTATTTGAGAGAGAGAAAGCACGAGAGGGAAGAGGGTCAGAGGGAGAAGCAGACTCCCCGCTGAGCAGGGAGCCCGATGTGGGACTCGATCCCAGGACTCCAGGATCATGACCTGAGCCGAAGGCAGTCGCTTAACCAACTGAGCCACCCAGGCGCCCTCTCTGGTTCTTTATCTTATGTCTAAATGCTTGAGCGCTCCAGACCTCAGCCCCAAATCTCTTCCCTTCAGTCTATACTTACTCCCATGATGATCTCCATCTCATGGCTTCACATGTCCACAACCTAGCCCCTGATAACCCCTGCACCACCAAACCAACCACACACACACACACACACACACACACACACACACACACACACACACACCATTTTTCTTGCAGTTTTCCCCATCTGAATCCTTTCTCCATCCTTCCGGTTGCTTAAAAAATCTTTGACTCTCTCACCCCCCCCCATCTGGTCAGTCAGCAAATTCCGGGGGCTCTACCTACAAAGTATGTTCAGAATGTGATCACTTCTGACTATTTCCACTGCCACCATCCGGTCCAGGCGACCATCATTTCTCCACTAGACTATTGCAAGAGCTTATCCTCTCTTTGTCCTTCTTTCCCCTGCGTTGGTCTGTTTTCAACACAGCAGCCGGAGGGATCCGTTTATTTTTAAAGTATTAAGTCAGATTATATCACACCTCTGCTCAAAACTTTGTGGTGGTTCCTATATCATTGGGAAGAAAAGCCCAAGTCCTAACTCTGACCTATAGGATCTTGCCCGTTAGCTCTCCGACTTCACTCCATCCCTTTTGGCTGCCCTCCTCCTTGCTCACTCTACTCCAGCCATTATGGCCTCTTTGCCATTCCTGAGCAGACCAGGCACGCTTCTACCCCAGGGCCTTTTCACATACTTTTTCCTTTGGAGGCTTGTACCCCCAGACGCCCATGGAGCTAGCTCCCTCATTACCTTCTCAAGTCTTTACTCCGAAGTCACCTTCTCATGTAGGCCTTTCTCAACTCCCCAACCATGAACATCATATTCCCTTTCCCTCATTTATTATTTCTCTCAAGCACCTGTCACTTTCTTTTAAATAATCTCTACACCCAACATGGGGCTCGAACTCACAACCCTGAGATCAAGAGTCGCATGCTCTGACTGAGCCAGCCAGGTGCCCCGCCAACTGTCACTTTCTAACAATGCTTATTGCGCTTGTTTTATTGACTTTCTCCACTTGAATGTAAGCTCCACGAAGGCAGGAATTTTGTGTTTTAGTCACTGATGTAACTCCAGAGTCTAGAACATAAATGGCACATGGTGTATGCTCAAAAAATAGTGAATGAATGAATGAATAATGGTAACCTGAACAAGGGCAGCGAAGGAATGGAGAGGAGGGAGAGGAATTGGACAAACGATAGTGATTGGCTGTAGGGAGTGAGGATGGAGTCAAGTATGACCCTCAGTGCTGAGTGGATAGGTGGTTGACATCCTCGACAGGAGGGGGAGGAACCTGAGTTGTTTGGGACCAGAAATACTTGTGGGTCATTTGGGTACAGATGTCTAGCAGGCAGCTGCATCTGAGATTAGGGGGGTGGTCAGGGCCGGAGATACGGAAGAGAACCTTAAAGTCTGGAAATATAATCTACCATATATTACAGTTGTAATGAACAATTATGTATTTACCCATGTCTCCATAGTAGGAGCTTGGTAATTACTGATAATTATTTGGTGAATGAATGAACATGAGTTTTCTAAGGATGGCTAATCCTATGTACGTAGCTGTCAATATATACTTTCCAAGGACTCACCACATGTGAACCTATCTTTGCTACCTTGCCTTCCTTAATAATGACGTAAGTGATCATAATAGATTTTTGTGGTATAGAATACGGCCCCAGAGATTATAAAGAAAATTCTGGGCAGGCCCCATAAAAACATAAAACATACACGGAGTTTCTGTATACCAACAAAAGGCTACAAAACTCTTAACCTTTCCCCTATGGAATTAAAGATGGCATCTGTGAATACCACGGAGAGTTAGATCTTCATTTACTACCCGAGTTCAGTTACAGCCTCAGGACTACCTTATGTAGTAGGCCTGCTGGGGAAAGGGGGTGCGGTTTCTGTTTTTGAAGGCCTGAATGCCCAAAGCCATCTGTTTGTCACTGCCCTGAAGGGACCGAATTCCACTGCCCTCGCCCCTTGAATTTTTCCTGCCTGCTTCCCTTAGTGTCACTGTCCACCAGAGCAGCTAGCTCCGCACGGCTGTGAGTATCGTGAGGGCAGGGACCTTGTTCACTACCACAGTGTTGGTGCCAGCACACACGAGATGCTCAGCGAATGTTCCGATACCCCACGTCTCAGCTGTCTCCATCCTGTCGTTGTTCCCAAACAAACCATTGTCTGAAGTAGGCAAAAATGGAATGAATGCTTACTTTTGCATTGTTTACAGCAGTTGGTTTTCACTAAGACCATGAAAGGATGAGTTAGGAGGAAGGGGAGCCAACTAGGGAAAGCAAGGCGGCCCTGTGGAAAAGGAAGTGAGCATGGATGTTTTAAATTGCTCAGCAGGACGGAGGGCCCGCCTGTAGTCTCAGCAGCCGATCTTCTTTCGGGATTTTCTCCAGCAACACTTGGCAGCTTAGGGGCGGGAGACTCCCACACCCGGCCAGGCCATCATAGCCCTGCTCACAACGGGGCACCGTGCTCTGGTTATTTCTAGTTGTTTCTTGCCACCACTAGACCATGGTTTCTCAAAGACAGCGACTTGAGTCCTTGACACCCACCCCCGCCCCGGGGCCTGGCACACCGTCAGTGATTAGTAAATGTTGGCTAAAATGAACGTAAATGGAAAAAATATAAGGGATGCAGGTAAGTGTGGTTACCGAGTTGGACTGGCAAGGCAAGCAGAACGAACGAGGGAGGTGCCGATGGGCAAACAGCCCAGAGAGGGCTGGCTGTGGGTCCCAGGCTGGGGAGGGAGGCAGGCGCTATCAGCTCAGGGCTGCGGGCTGCGGAGCGTCGCCTCTCCACTTCTCCGCAGGCCTGCTGTCCCCTGTGCTGCCCCGCTTTCGCCTGCCTTCCCGGGAGACCTACGCTACTGATGATTGCTTCCCCTGGGGCCTCTCAGAGCTTTCCTTTCAGCTTCCAAGCAGGCTTTAGTAGTTCTATTTAAAACAATCCTTCATATCACCACCATTCACCGGTCTTCATTCTCTCACTGCCAAACTTCTCTCTGTGCTGTTTCCATTCTCAACCTCAGTCTGGCTTCCACGCCCTAGGATTCCAGGTCATCAGAGATTTTAAGTCACTGAAACCTGTGGCCTTTATTTGAGCATCACACTTGACCTTCCAGCAGCATCCAACCCTAATGGCCACTTCCTTCGCCTTCTTCAGTCTTTTCTCCTGGGTTAGGGAATGTCGGAGTCTTCTGGTTTCCCACCTACTCTCTGGCTCCTCCTTTTCTGTCTTTGTAGATACTTTCCTCACCTGTAACCTTAGGGTTCCTCAAGGCTGGGCCCTAGGTCTGCTTGTTCTTTCTTCACTCTCTTTCCCTAAGTGACTAAATCTAGACCCATGGCTTCAATGATCACCTAGAACTAGATGAATTCCAAATCTCTATCTCCAGCCCAGATCTCTTCTCTGAGCTCCAAGGTCCAATTATCCAGCTGCCCCATCTGCATTTCCTACCCGCCACTCACCCCTCACCGTAACATGGTTTCTGCTGCCTCGGCAATTCACTACTGACCTCAGTGCTGCCAAGCCCGGTGAGCGCATCTCAGCTTCCCTGACCGCTCTGTGGCACAGACCACTGCCAGCCATTCTCTTTGAAATTTTCCCTTCCTGTATTTTAGTCCTCTCTCCCAGTTGAGGACCATTCTTTTAGTCATCTTCAGTCCTCTTCACCTGCCTCTTGGGATACCGGTTTCTAAAAGCTGAGTAAAACTAAAGCAGTGGCTTATTAAGTAAAGGCAGACTGACGCCACATTAGGAGAAGCTGTCAGGATGAATATTAAGCAGCAGCTCAAGGATGTTGTCCACACATTTTGGTTCTTGTGGAACAAGAGTAGTGAACCATGATTTGATCTTGGTGGGCAAAATAAAATAATGCTAGTGAAGGCAGAAATAAGCATCCTTCCTCCCCTTTCAAAATACCCAAGGGGTTAATTCAGTATCAAAAGTTTAATGTCTCAAAATGAATAGCTAATTTAGTAAAGTTAATAAATACACTTGGCTTCACACTTGAGTGATGTTGATATTTATTGACATCAATGCAAAACAAGCCAGGACTAAAAGTTGCTATTTGACAGGAACAAATATTGATACGGTTTCCTTCCTGGAGAGGGTATGCACTCAGATCATGAGACCTAAGATTAAAACAAAGACTGGATTGTCAAGAAACAAACAAGGGTTAAATTTTACTTATTAATATAAAAACTGCTAAAGGCAAAAGGAGATGTTTAAAAATACTCTTTATGCTAAGCTCACGTAAGCAAACAAAAAACTAAATCCTAAAATTTTAGGACACAGGATATAGACACGACATGACTTTAAATTTTTGTACAGACGAAAATTTGTTATATCCTCCACTGTCCTTGTACTACAATTACATGCTTGTTGCATCTACACTACACAAAGTCAACAGTTATCATCAACAATGAATGTAACTAGATCTGAACAAGACTTCACAGTGACTCTGTTCCACTCAAATTAAGAAAATTCAATCCAGGATTTAACAAAACCTTGCTTTTAGAACCAGCTGTCTTTTTTTTTCCCCCTTCTCATGTCATACCTAATTAAGTCCTCACCGGACCTTTCCTGCCTGCAAACTGCAATGCATGTCCTCTCCCTCATCTTTGTCTGACACTTGAAAATTAATTTGTAGGAACTGCATAAAAAATGAAATTGAACTTCCAACCTGAACCTGCGATCAGGTTCCTGCTTTGACGCAAAGAAAAAAACATACTCCTCTGCAGTGTACCCCACCAGCACAGCGATCCCCTTTCTCTCTCTCTACTCCTTTGCCCTGAAGGCACTTCTGGATTGCTTAATACATGCTCTTTGGCTGCCTAGACAGTCAGGACACCTAAGGCCTTTTGGACTTATCACTCCTCTCCTCCTTCTTTTCTATGGCTAATACCACTTTCCTGCTTTTTTTCTATTGCTGAATCTCCAGACTTGGTGCTGTCATCAGGCGGACAGAGTCGATTTCGGCTTCGAGCTCCTGGTTGGTAAAGCTGCATTGCTGGGCGATCCTAAAATAAAATTAAATGTTAATGTTACAACACTGCTACTAAACATTTACAGGGGATTTTCAGAGTCATACGTTGTGTATTGATATATACCAAAAACAACTCCTACGAGATCAAAAATGTGAGGGCACAGTCCCTGACAGTGCTGATGGTTAACTTGCCTCTTAACTGCCCACTTCCTTTCCCCTATCTCCAAATAAAAGCAACCATTTTGTAAGTATTATTTTCTAAGCCTACGGTACGTTTTCAGTAATTTTCTTAACCATTTCAAGATGAACTGAATTAGCTTGAATTTCCTTTACTTCAAAACCTCAGCCATTGCCTGTCTCTCTTCCCCATCACTAAATTGACTTTAACATTCGCTGCCACGTAAGAAAATTTTTGGAGTAAAATAGTAAATAAAGAGGGGCGCCTGGATGGCTCAGTCGGTTAAGCGGCTGCCTTTGGCTCAGGTCATTATCCCTGGGTCCTGGGATCCAGCCCCGCGTCCGGCTCTCCACTCAGCGGAGAGCCTGCTTCTCCCTCTCCCTGCCACTCTGCCTACTTGTGCTCTCTCTCTGTCAAATGAATAAATAAAATCTTTAAAAAAAAAATAGTAAATAAAGAATGCAAAGTCTTAAGTGGAGACCTCCCTGAAATTACGAGCTCAGACCCCATGCAACTTGCCACAAACATGATTATTTCTTAATTCATGTATGGCAACTTAACACCCCAGCCTGAGACTCTCTAGGTGGCATTTTAGATCTCAGATTCCTAAATAAGCCCCAATTAAAGTCATCACGTACCTCTCAGTTCAAGTAACGTGTGTGGTTTATGACAGTATGATCCTGGAAAACTTAGATGTATAGGCCCTTTTTAGAATTCAACAAAAAATTACATGAGCCTTCCTGACTCTTTCTCCCTAGTGTATGAAAGTTAGCCGTAGGGCGCCTGGGTGGCTCAGTTGGTTGGGCGACTGCCTTCGGCTCAGGTCATGATCCTGGAGTCCCGGGATCGAGTCCCGCATCGGGCCCCCTGCTCAGCAGGGAGTCTGCTTCTCCCTCTGACCTTCTTCCCTCTCGTGCTCTCTATCTCTCATTCTCTCTCAAATAAATAAATAAAATCTTAAAAAAAAAAAGTTAGCCTTAAAGCATTATTCTCAACTGAATAATTCCAGCAAAATGTTTCACTATTTTTATAAGACAAAATGTTGAAACAGGTAAGATTCCTGCATAGTATTTAAAGAAATGGATGATGGGGCTCCCACTGTGCAAAGATGGGACAATGTAAACCTCAACAAGGACAATAACTGATAATAACAAGTTGGAATACACCAAATATTTCTAAATCCACAAATTATTACAGACAAAACAAAACACTGATTACCTAGAAGCGGCTGGGATACCAACTCATTACTCTGAATGCTGGTACATAAAGGGAAAGTGTTTATCCCGCCTTTCCTATATAAACTGAATTTCAGGCTAAAAATGTTTTATAGTAGATGGATCAGGCTTACAATACCTGAACCTACTGATCAATGGTTTTTTCAACTTTATCACCTTGAGAAATTTTAAATCTATAGAAATGTAAGTTGCAGACATCATGACCTTTCATCCCTAAATATTTCACCTTGTATATCCGAAAAACAAGGACATCCTGTTCCATAACCACAATACAATTGCTATTGATCAGAACATTACACTAGAAAGACACCCTTTTATGTCCCATGCCTCCTGATATGATGCAATAGGAAGTACACAACACAATCTTCGAAGTATTCTCTTTTTAAGATTTTATTTTTAAGTAATCTCTACACCCAATGTGGGGCTTGAACTCACAACCCTGAGATTAAGAGTCGCATGCTCTACTGACTAAGCCAGTCAGGCGCCCCTCTATCTATGAAGTATTCTTTGTTTTTTAAGATTTATTTATTTATTTGAGAGAGAGACAGTACATGGGGAGGGGCAGGGAGAGAAGCAGACTCCACTAAGCGCAGAGCCTGATGGTGGGGCCTAAACCCACGACCCTGAGATCATGACCCAAGCTGAAATCAAGAGTCAGACGCTCAACTGACTGAGCCACCCAGGTGCCCCAATCTATGAAGTATTTTTGCCAAAAATTGAGCCTGAATATATTCAGGCCTGTAGGTGAGGAGCCACCTGTTTTTATGAATAAAGTCTGATTGGCCCACAGCCATACTCATTCTTTTACATATTTATGCCTGCTTTCCTTCAGAGCTTAGTGGTTCTAATAGAGACCATATGGCCCACAAGGCCTAAAATATTTACCATCTGGCCCTTTACAGAAAAAATCTGCTGACCCCTGCCCTAGGTATAACTACTAGTTTTCAAAGAAACAGAGAAGATAGAGAAACATGTTAAATGGTACCACAGGGATATAATTAGCCCAACCAATTTAGAGCCGATAGCTCCTCAGGACAAACTACAGGTTTCTGTAGCAAATAAATGGCAGGATAACGAAAGAAGGGGGGATTGTTTAGATTAAAAGACACTTAAGGATACAAGACCATGTTTAGAGCCTATAAAGAAGTTATTAGTGAGACAATTGCAAAAAACAACACAGAAGGTAGGGCATTAAGGAATTATTATTAGGGTTTTTTGGGGGGGTATGAAAATGCTATTGGGGTTGTATTAAGAAAAAGAATCTGGGGCGCCTGGGTAGCTCAGATGGTTAAGCATCTGCCTTCGGCTCAGGTCATGGTCTCAGGGTCCTGGGATCGAGTCCCACATCGGGCTCCCTGCTCTGCGGGGAGCCTCCTTCTTCCTCTCCCCCTGCCTCTCCCCCTGCTTGTGCTCTCTCTCTCTCTCTCTCTCAAAAGAATAAGTAAAATCTTAAAAAAAAAAAAGAATCTGTCTCTAATATTGATGTATTTAAAGAAGATGGTATGTCTAGGATTTGCTTAAAAATAATCCAGGGGCGCCTGGGTGGCGCAGTCAGTTAAGCGTCTGACTCTTGATTTCAGCCCAGGTCCAGATCTCCGGGTTGTGAGATCGAGCCCCGCATCGGGCTCTGCACTCAGTGTGGCGTCTACTTGAGATTCTCTCTCCCTCTCCCTCTGCCCCTCCTGCTTGTGCTCACTCTCTCTCGAATAAATAAATCTAACTATCTATCTATCTATCTATCTTTAAAAACTCTGTTCTACTTTTGTGTCCTTTTGAAATTTCCACAATGTTAATGAAAGGACCCAACCGAGACTGAAAAAAAGTTGCAGACAGTTCAACTTGCCCTTTACAAAGTCTGTCATAAACGGGGAGCTAGCCCTTTCCTTTACACTTGCAGGGGGGAAAAAAAGTCCTCACGAAAACAGAACGAAAAGCAGCACCTTGTTTCTTATGCGATCTCTCTTAACCACTTCCTCTTTCTTTTCAGTTTTTTCGGAGCCGCCTACTGCTTCTGTACTTTCAGTCTTCTTTCCTTTATCCCGGACCGCTTCTTTCTCTTTCTTCAGCTCTTCCTCCTTCCTTTTAAAAGCCTTCTCCTTCTCGTAGCGCTCCTTCTGCCTGCGGCGCTCCTCCTCCTGCCGCTTCAGCCTCTCCCTCTCCCGCAGGACGCGCTCCGGGTCTCGCTCGTAGTCCCGCTCCCGCTCGCGGTAGTCTCTGCCACTCTCCTCTTCGGGCCTGCGTGGGAAACAGAGCTGAGCGGGCCCTCAGAGCCCATCTAGTCGCACACGCACCAGTGCTCTGATTAGCACCTGGCTGCTACAGTGAGGCGGCACTGTTGGAGCCGAGTCAAAAACTACTAGCGTTTTGAAAACCAGTAAAAAAAAAAAAAACAAAAAAAAAAAACAAACAAACCAAAAAGTGCACACCAGAAGTCATTCACCCAGGTTAAGATGCTAGAGTATTTGAAACCTTTCCTCCTCATCCCCCCACCCCTCATAATTCAGGCACGCGTCCAGGACAGGGCAGGAAAAGTAGCACGTAGAAACATGTTGAAAACAAGTGTACCAAAGAGCCCTCAGCTACCGACCTCTTAGGCTTTTCATCTTTAGGTTCACCATCAGAGCGCTTGGGCAGTGTACAGCTCTGCCCACTGGCTCTTTCATCATTCAGATTCTCTTTGTCCAGTTTCTTTGCTTTTTCTCTTTTATCTAATTCTTTTTCGTCTCCCTTTTCTGGCTTCTTGAGTAGCTTTAAAGAGAACAAATTTATTATTTTGAAGGGTGGGACATTCTCTTCTGATTCTATAAAGAAAACAATATACTAAATATTTTAAATCTAGGCTGTAGAAGGCCTCTTTCTGCAGGTACTCTTCAACTTACAGGTGAATAGTGCACAAGAGCAGTGATTGACTAAAAGGATGCTATTAATGTGAAAGTGTTATCCACTCAAAGTGGTTTAGTCACTTGTGGCAACAGGATCAAGACTCCTTTGGCTTTAGATGGGTCAACCTTTCAGTGAACCAGTGCCCACTTCCAAGTACGCCTTCTGTAGCCAACTAGCATACTGATATAACTTGATGAGAAAATTGGCCACAATTTAAAATTCTAGGCAGATTACTGTTGGACCGTTTTCTTGTAGTACTTGGAATGACAAATACCTTTGTCACCAAAGGAGAGATCCATTGCAAGAATAACTTTGCCTTGAGCCTGAGAATAACACACTTATGATGGTACAATCACAGTTTTCATTATTTGATTTAAAAATCCAAATACCTCACAGAACAGTGAAGTTCCATCTCTACTGAGTAGGAACTCTGCTCAATGTCACTATGTATATACACATATATATATGTATACACACATACATATATATACATATATATGAGATACACACATATATATGACAGAATGGAATTCTAAAATAAACGTGCTTTATAAAGTCCAAATTGCTATCAAAATAGTTTGTCACCACTGCCACAAACCTCTCTAGAATACCCCCAAGCGTTGGATATTCAGAGAGATTCTTAGGCAAAATAGAAGAATTTCAAGTCTCAGAGTGAAGGCATCATACAAAGTTTCATCTCAGGGTGAAGGCATCACACAAGTCACCAAGCAAAAGGCAAAGCACCACAAGACTTAAGCATGAAGTATTTCAGCACACAGCCACTGCAAATGGCGAGTCCAGACTGGACACTGAGGAGGCACCAATGTAAAGTGAGGCAGGTTTCACTGGAAGTGTTTTTTTCTAATGAACATCTTTGTTGGAAGCCAGGATGTTCATTACTCTATTAAGAACATTAGTGCATGTTTCTAGTATGGCTGGCTCTACCTTCTGCCTTGCTGATAGGAATAGCCAGTCAGGTCACTTGTGGCATGGCAGAGAGAGAGATCACTAGAAGGAATTAAGATGGGAACCTTTCCACCCCACTACCAAGCTCCTTATCGCCAATAATGAGCCCGGGAGAGCCTTGGGGGAACAGGCCCTGGCCACGTAAAGTGCTTAATTTTGAGGAGGTAAAAGGAGACCCTGCCACCATTTCTGTGAGATTTTTTTCTGACTTTCTCTGAAGTACTAGGTACTAGTACTTCCCCAAGAGGTTTGTGGGAGCAGAAGCTGCCTAAGCCATGCCCTCAGAAGGGAAGCAGTAAGGCTGGGATTTTTCTACAAGTTTTCCTCTTCCTACATGCAGTGTGTTAATCAGAATCTGCCGCTCACAGATTCCCAGGTAGATGAGAGAAGGTAGGGAGAATCATGTGAGAGGGGAAGCATGGGATACAGGATATTTATCCCTAATATTCCCATAAGGCAGCCCGTTAGGAGAGGCACAGGAAGAGAAAGAGCTATTTAGGCACAGTTATCCTCTAGCTGTATACTGTTGAAGCTTCTGGGTACCCAGCAGAGCATCAGGAAGTCATCTGGGCTTCCTTCTAAAGTAGGAATTTAAAATGGCTCAGATTTTAATAAGACTCAAGTCAGTCTGAAGGAGTTTTCTACAGGTATCACTACCACCACCACCGAAAGGACTTATTATTAACTAAGACCTGTGTGTGTGACATGATACTAGGTGCTCTGTATCATGTACTTGGTCCTTACATTTTTCTGATTCACAGCTTGTAACAGAAACCTGTGTACCTGAAGACAGTGGAAAACAAACAGATGAGGCAACTTCATGTATCAAATATGAAGGAAAAGCTGCATAAAACCCATAATTCATGCCAGCCAGCCCTAAGCCCTTACTTATGAAGAACTGAGAGAATAATAATCCAAACATTGAACATTCTCAATGATAAAAATAACGCAGATATTCACTGAAGAAATATGTAAGTTATGTAATCTGTTTAAATTATCAAGAATTTTAAAAAATAATACTATTAGCATTATAGTAAAGATTCCTATTGGTTCACCTCCCCCCCAAAAAAGACAACAAAACCAAAAAATTGTATTTACACCAACACAAGATGCATGCATATTTAAAGAAGTAGATACATGCAATTTTTAGCAACATGCAGTCTATTTAAGTGATTTTCCATACCTTAATCTTTGGTTCATCCTTTATTTTTTCCCTTTCTGGAACTCGGTCTATCTTCTTTAGCTTTTCTATATCTTTCCTTTTTCGTTTTTCTTCTTCTTTCCATTTCCTCCTCTCTTCTTCTCTTTGTCTTTTCCTTTCTATTTCTCGTCTCCTTCTTTCTTCTCTTTTTTCTTCTCTCATTCTCTGGAAAGAAACATCAACATAAGGCTGCAAACAAGATAATCATCACCAAAAACTTAATCCCAAAGGTATAGTGAGAACCCACTAAATTGGATCGTCCTTCCTTCCTACTTTCTACAAAGTGGCATCCTATCTCTTTAACCCCCTTCCCCATCCCATTATGAATATGAGAATAAAGACCAGAGCCTGCGAGTATCAGAGTCTCCCACTGTTGCCTTGCTATATTTCCAGAGGCTTTCTGAAAATCAAGGGAGTGTCTCTGGAACAAGCTAAAGACTCTCTGGGTTTGCAGAGTGAATCCTTGGCCCAACAACCAGACTGAAGGAGAGGGCCAGAGAGTGAGGCCAATGAGCTAAATCTTTAAAGAATAATGGTGGAAGAAGCAGCTATTTCTCCTCTAGGAACCCAATGCTCGTATGTTTACAGACTATGAACCAATGAAATAAAAGTACTGAGAGAACTATAAAAACAAAAGGTTTACCTGCTTGTTTTTCAGGAAGCTCAAAAGTGGGGTTGTCTTTTTAGCTACATAAATGTAAACAGATTATTAATAATACTTATCAACCCCTAGAAAGGATTCCATTTTCTGACATTCCCTGCCAACCACCCAAGGTGGGGAAAGTATACCCCTTAAAACAGTTCACAAGTACGTTATCAGAAAGAAGTTTCACGATATTCTACTTCAATTCTGAAGGTTTAAAATACTTTTTAAAAAGTGAAGAAATTCAAATTAAAACAATTTCTTAAAACAGTAATTCCCAGTGTTGGTGAGAATTGAGTGCAAAGGACATTCTCTTGTTTTACAGATGGGAATATAAATTTGTTCAACTGGGAAGAAATTGGAGGAAGGAGCTAAAAACATCTAATCTTTCTGACCCTACAATTCCACTTCTGGGAATTTATTCTAAGGAAATCATCAGAGATGGGCTTATACTCTGCATCTATTAATAAAAACCATTTTAGGGGCACCTGGGTGGCTCAGTTGGTTAAGCGTCTGCCTTTGGCTCAGGTCATGATCTCGGGGTCCTCAGATTGGACCCTATGGGCTCCCTGTTCATTGAGGAGTCTGCTTCTCCCTCCCTCTCCCCCTCCCTCCACCCCTCCCACCGCTCGTGCTCTCTTTCACACTCTCTCTCAAATAAATGAATAAAATATTAAAAAAAAAAGTTTTAGAATATGTAATTTTCAATATCCTGAATAATGCTATCTAGTCTTGTAAATAGTTTTTTTTTAATGTTTTGGGGTGTTTTGTTTTGTTTTTAGAGAGAGAGAGAATGGGGAGGGGCAGAGGGAGGGGAGAGAATCTTACGCAGGCTCCATGCTCAGTGTGGAGCCCGGCGCAGGGCTTGATCTCATGACCCTGAGGATCATGACCTGAGCCTAAATCAAGAGTCGGGATGCTTAACTGACTGACCGACCCAGGAACCCCGCCTTATAGTTAGGTTTTTGAAAGCATACTTCCTTTGGATAAATTCCTAGGAGTGGAAATCTTGGGTCAGGGGCTTTGCTTATGTTTAGAGCTGATAGAGGAGTGACCATTTATTACTAGAAGAGTGACAATTTACTACTAGAACATCCAAACTAGACTTTCTCAAAAAGTTTTCAATTTTGCAGTAACTAATTTCACCTTTTGGTATTTTCAAATTTTTTTCAGCAATGTGAGCTGCTTGTTACTAGAAAATACCAGTTGATCTTCAAAGGCTTACCAACATCTAAAGGTCCCATGAGTCTTTAAACTTTTTCTACTTATATTTATGTGGCATTAAAACAGGTCACAGAGAATTTTTCCCATCTTATCAATGCATTTACATAACCCTGTGAGGGAGGTACTATATGCATTTTACAGCAAAAGAAACAGAGTCTCAGAGAAGTAAATGCCTTCCCCATGGTCACACAGCAAGTGCCAGAAGTGGGAGTCAGACAAGTCTTCTGAGGAAAAAGCCATTGTCCTTAATTCCTGTTGCCCACTTACCTATTAATTCTCTATTTTTTGCTTCTATTTCCTCTAGCAGTGTCTCTGGAGTAGATGTCATTTTCTCATTATCTGCAGCATAACTTTCCAAAAATTTTCTATATTCTGGATCTAAACCATTGTTTAAGTAAACAGAAAATATAGACCTTAAAAAAACTTTCTACATCATGGAAGATTAAAAATAAACCTAAACATACCCACTAGACTATTTAGGGCTTTATCGGTCCCTTACTCTCAGAACTCCTATTCCCTATATGCACTAAGGGAGTCTGGTATAATACGGAGTCAGGGATAATCAGACACCACAGGAATGTTCAGTAGTTTGCTTTAAAAGTCACTGCTCTAACCAACCCAAAGTCACACTTATGTGAGAATTGAAAGTTATAATTATGGGACCTTCACAGTATTATAGATAGCATGTAAGCAATTCCTGTATGGGTACACCTCGCTTTAAGTAAACCGAACGTCTGAAAATCAGGTGTTCCAGAAAGATAAATTGAGGTCCTAGATGTTGCACTGGAGCTTATGGTAATTCCTGGAGTTGTTTTTTAGATGCATCCGACATCAGAAAGGGTAACACATCTGAGTCATTCCATTGCTTGTACTTGTGGAGTTTCTGCACACTGTGGAGCATGTCACTGATCTAGTCTCCCATATCTGAATTTTGATACAATCAGTAAGTACCTGTGTGGTGAAATCTTTTCCATGTTTTCTTTATAAAATACCCACTATAATAAATAATGGAAATCAAACTAGATGATTCCAAAGTGTCAATCAGATATAAAATATTACAGCTAAGTCTTATCCAACATAACCTTACAGAGCTCAAAATCTGGATCCAGTTTACCCTACATGGCAATTATTCTAGTTTTTCAGTTCCTCTATGCCAGTTCAATGTAATTACTATGTGTGCAGTTAGCCGCATATTTAAAGCCTAAAAAAAAAATAGGCCACTTCAGCTACTTTATATTGTTACTTGAGTTACTGAAGTATAGAAATTTTTCCATCCCACCTCTCAGTGATAAACCTCCCCTCTTTCAAAAATGGAAACCAAAAAAATCGTCATAAAATAGTATGAGACCTTAAGGAGTTGTTGTACTTTGATACATCTCATTTTTCCCCATTGTCTTCTAATCAACAAACCAAAGGTAATTTACTGCTCAACAGTCAACAATACATTGCTTGATGCTGGAGGAATGAAATGGCAGTAGTTGGAAGAGTGGGACTTCCACAGGAAACCCACTTCCATTCTAACAATTAAACAAAGCTTTCATCAGTGAATTACATTTCTCGTGAACCTTATTCTCTATGTTTTCCTATTAGAAGATTGGAATCCAATTAAATCCCACAAAGATAATATTTTTTAATGGCAATAGCATTACATAACTAGAGCTATACTGTACCATCATCGATAGTCCCAACTTTGGTATCTCTTTTCTTAGTCTTCTTTTTTGCAGCTTTTTGAAAAGGTGCAAATTCTACTATAGCAGGATATTCCTGACCTGTTTAGAAAAAATACCACACTTGCTATAACATAAAAAAGTCAAAAAGTGGATACAAGAGAGTCAACCCACCGCTCTCTAGGCCTTTGATGGGAGTCATCGGAATAGGGCCTCTCAATGGGCATAAATCACATGAGCACAAATCACATGGGCACAACTAAAATCGATGTGTTACCAAAGGAGCCCCAAATTCACATAATGAAAAAGATACGGCAGGGAAGTAAAATATTCATTTAAATTCAACTTGTAAAGTGTGATATTTTGATTTGTGGGGAAAAAACAATCTACAAATCAATTTTCATTCAAAAATACATCATGAATCTCTAGACTAGGCAAATCTATAAAGATACAAAGAAGATCAGTGATTGCCTAGAGCTGGGGCATAGTTGGGGGAGAGTGGGGAATGACAACTAATGAATATGGGGTTTCTTTGGAGTGCTAGATGTATTCTAAAATTAGATTGTGGTGATAGCTGCACAACTCTATGAATATACTAAAAACCACTTTAAAAGGGTGAATTTTATGGCATCTGAATTATATCTCAATAAAGCTCTTTTTACACCAGGAGACACCAAAAGCACAGGCAATAAAAGTGAAAAATAGATAAATTGAACTACATCAAAATTAAGAACTTCTGTGCATCTAAGGACAAAACTGAGTAAAAAGGCAACCTACAGAATGGAAGAAAATATTTGCAAATCATTTATCTGATTAAGGGCCAATATACAGAATATATAAAGAACTCCTACAACTCAGTAACAAAAAAACCCAATTAAAAAATGTTCAAAGGACTTGAATAGACATTTCTACTAAGATGATATACAAATGGCCAACACGCATATGAAAAGATTAAAATATTACCTCACTAATCATTAGGGAAATGCAAATCAAAAGCACAATGAGGTATCACCTCACACCCATTAGAATGGTAGCTATTAAAGGAAAAAAAAACAGAATAACAAGTGTTGGCAAGGACATGGAGAACTCAGAACCCTCGTGCATTACTGGTAGGAATGTAAAATGGTGCAGCTGCTTGGAAAACAATATGGTGGTTCCTCAAGAAATTAAAAATAGAATTACCATATGACCCAGCAATTCCACCTTTGGGTAGATATTCAAAAGAAGTGAAAGCAGAGACTTGAACAGATATTTGTACACCCACATTCATAGGAGCATTATTTATAATAGCCAAAAGGTGGAAGCAATTCAGATGTCCCTCAACAGATAAATGGATAAATAAAATGCAGTGTGTGTATATACACACAATGGAGTATTACTCTGGCTTAAAAAGGAATTTCTGACACACCCTACAACATGGATCAACCTTGAGGACATTATGCTAAATAAATAAGCCAATCTCAAAAAGTCAAAAAGTATATGATTCCACTCATATGAGGTACCTAGAATGGTCAACTTTATACAGAATGATGGTTCACAGAGACAGAATGGTAGTTGCCAGGGGCTGGGAGGAGGGAGAAATGGGGATATGGGGATTTACTGGGTAAATTTAATCTAATGGGTATAGAGTTTCAGTCTTGCAAGATAAACAAGTTCTAGAGATTGGTTGCACAACAGTGTGAATGTACTCAACACTACTGAACTATACACTTAAAATGGTTAAGATGGTAAATTTTATTTATGTGTATTTTACCACATTTAAAAATGTAAACAAAAAAAAGAAATCAGGTAATATATGCAATAACACAGATGAATCTTGAAAACATGCTAAGTAAAAGAGGCAGTCACAAAGGCTACATATTATATGACTTGTCCAGAAGAGGGAGAAGGGGAAATGATTGCTAACGGTTATAGGATTCTTTTTGGAATAATGAAAACATTCTGGAATCACATAGTGGTGATGGTTGTACAACTTTGTGAATATACTAAAAACCACTGAATTTTATGGTATGTAAGTTATATCTCAATACAAAAGACCAAGTGACTGCGGGAAAAAGAAAATACACCAGATCCCTGCTATAGAATAATGTCATAAAGGGTATAAAATACTATCATTGGCACATAGATGTAAGCCAGAATAGAATAAGCAGAAGTGACCAGAAGGCATCACAAAGCGGTCAGGGAGAAAACATGATTTTGGAAATCCTAGTGAATGCAGAATCAGATTAGCTTATTAACTGATCTATTTGAGAAGGAACAGATAAACCAGACTGAAGCAGAAGGAACTGTGGAAGAGAGGCTGAAAAAAACAAAAACAAACAAAAAACCAGCAGTGAGGCGAGGCTCTGAAGGACTCTGACTACCAGGCTAAGGAATTTGGACCTTTTTCCCCTGCAACTGCTATCTTAAATCACTATTTTCAAAAACATTAATTTCATGGCAATATAACAGACTGAGTTAGACAAAAATGAAAAAAAAGGAAAATTCTGTAAGTTTAGAGACAATGGTTGTCTAAGCATTAGGAGGGAAGGACACAGTGTTAGAGTATAAATAGATGAGCGAGATATTTAAAAACAATAAATTGACAAGATTCATCACGTGTTTAAATATAAGGGATAAGAAAGATCAGAAAAAGTTAAAACACAACTCAGATTTCCAGGAACACACTGCTATCTACTGGAATAAAGTTGGAGTACAGAAGTAACTGCTTTTGGTGGGGGAAGGGGGGGCGGAGATTAATAAAAGCTGGTCAAACCCGGTGGCAATTCTTCAACTTTTACTGGCATATTCCCTGACAAAGATTTCATTTTTACCTAATTTGACACTGAGAAACAGCCCAACAAAAAGACACGTCATTTACCTATGATCACAAAGCCAAAAGAAAAGTGGTAAATGGCAGCTTGGACATTCTCTGGCTAAATGTTGCAAGGGGCAGATAATAAATAGAGTTAAGGCTGAAGTTTTTCTTCTCTATAGACTCCTGGATACAAAGTGGGAAATCATCAAGTTCGATGTTTTAAGTACAAATACAAATTAGAAAGTTGAACAGTATTCCAACTGGCTTAAAGGATTTACATTAAAATAAATCAATGTTGGTCCTTGAAGCAAGATGACAAGTAAGTATTTAAAATGTGTCATACAAGTTCAAAGAGTCATTTATCAGTATTACTGCTCCAACTAGTAAATAGTCAAAACAACAGATCATCTAATCCAGGGCAAAAAAATTTGCCACAGGAAGAGAAAATAGTGGCAATTTCATTCAGCTGATCAAACTACAGAAGTAACAGGTTAATAAAAATACCCAAGGGCTGTGAAAAGTCACACATCTGTTTATAAGACTACAGTAAGCTCAGCAAATGTGTAAAACTTTATCACCCAGAATTTTAGAAAAGCTACGAAGGCATTGAGAAAACAGCGATACACACATTGTCTTAAACATACAAATGACAAAGAAACTCCCCTTCAGTTATAAGGACTCACCTTTATTGTCAAGGAATACATAACCATCAAAGCGATCCCTGAACAAAATAATGTCCTCTTGGTTTTTAAAGTTGATGTATGCTCTGGCATACATATGAGGATACAGACTGCAGAGAGGAAAGCAATTATGTAAATGTGCTTGCAGGTGTCTGGCTGAATTACAAGTATGCATATATTAAAGAGACAGGTTCAAAAATCAAATGGAAAACAGTAGGATAAAAAAGAATGGAAGAAAATTTTTCATTTACCCCCGCCCTCTTTTATTTATTCATTTTACCTAGTATCATTAGAAAAAAACTCAAAATAATCATGCTCCGGCATAGGCTGAAGATGTTCCTGAAGCTGCTCCTTGGTCAAAGTGGGAGGTAATCTCCGAATTACCACCTTAAGAAATGAATAAGGAAAATAAAATTAGAACAGATCAATTTTCTGTCATACCCGAAAGACTCACTGTCTCTGAAAATAGATGGTCTTTAAAAGATGAGCTCACTTATAAAAACCCGGAGAATATTATTCTAATGCTGAGAATTAGTCAAACAAAATATTAATTTTTTTAATAAACTCTTAGAAATGAGAACTGCAAGGAGCAAGGAAAATCTCAGGTTCTGTTAAACGGAAGCCCCGCAGTTCACTTGGTTTTCGCCATCATTTTCTAGCACCCATTTTTCAATAGATATATTAGCAAGAAATTAGTAGGCTAACCCTGATCTTTGTAGGTGCCACGAACATTTGACTTATTATCGCCCTACCACATCCGACACATCCTAAAACAAAATCCTTCCTCATTCGGCGTAAAGAATTCAAAACTCCACGGAATACTCAAAGTTCCCTCGTTGCTCCCCAGATAGGGTGAAACTGACCTGGCCCCCCGACCATTAATCCCCCCACTCTTGCTCAACTCGCCTCCATTAATACTCTTTATCACAAACTACTCCCACCCCTGCTGGCCCCTTCACTATTTAGTAATTCCCCCCAATCAACCTTTTAATTCCTCATTCTCTTTACTATCGCTCCCCCTCCCACTATCATCTCACGGCTCTGACCTAAACCTTCTCGTCTGGGAATCCCCTCCTTTTCCCTCACTCGCACCCCGGGGCTTGGCCGAAAGGGGCTCTCCCCCCGCCCCCATCTCGGACGAATGGATGAAGAGAAGGTGACGCGATTTTCACTCAGGTGAAGAAACAGAAGCGCGGACTGGGGGAGGAAGAGGGCAGCCCCATTCCCAACCATCCTCGCGGGTGGCGGACCCGTCCCGCCCTCTCCCGGGCCAACCGCCGGCCAGGCACCTTGCTCAGCGCCTCTTTCTTCTCCTTATTTCGATCCTGCTTATCTTCCCCTTTGGTGCTGTCCCCCGAAGCCCCACCGCCGCTGCCTGTGGCCCCCGGGGGAGTCAACAGGGTTACTCGCTTCTCCTTAGGCCTATGCTCCTTCTCCTCCTTCATGGCCACGGCTTCGCTCCTCACAGCGGCTGCCGGGCCTAAACGCCGCTACGCCGGGCACCTACGACGCCCGGCCCACTCCCGTCGAGCTCCGCCCCCAACAAACGCCCCTAGTGATAAGCCGGGCCCCACGTTCCATTGGGCCCCTCCAGGATCTCGCGAGACTTCAGGGCGCCAGGCTTCCTTTGATGGAAAGGTTTTAGCACCTGGTCTTAACTTCCCGCCTATCGAATCCCTGCACCGCCCAATCCCCTCGCGGCCCATACTCCCTCGGGGCCGCTCTTCTCGCGTCTTTAACAACTCCGCCATCTTGGCTAGAACGACTCTTTCGCGGACTACAAATCCCGGCATACAAAGTGGTTAGCCGCTTCTGGCCGGGCTTTCTGGAGCCTTAGCTCAGTGTCTCTATTTGTAGTAAATAGAATCTTTACTATTCAAAGTTTAGTGTTTGGGACGCTTGCGTGGCTCAGTCAGTTAAGTGTCTGCCTTCAGCTCTGGTCATGATCCTAGTCCCCCATCGGGCTCCTTGCTCGGCGGGAAGCCTACTGCTCCCCCTGCTTGTATTCACTTGCTTTCTCTCTCTCTGAAAAATAAATAAGTAAAATGAAAAAAAAAAAAAGTTCAGTGATTTTCAGATCAAAAGATAGGTTTTGCAAAAAAAAAAAAGTAAGAAAGAAAGCAAGCTAGGTTCTGTAGGCTTCGTTTTCCTCAGGTAACCCAATGTTATCCAAAGTTTACCTCGCTGGGGGAAAGACTTGTGTTTTTTTTTTCTTTCTTTCTTTTTAGATTTCTATTATCGACTCTAAATGTACTTTCAGAAAATTTGGAATTTCTTTTCCTTACATTGATTAGGATTCACAGTTACTTACCATTCACTGATATTTAAAGGAGTGATATGACCAAAATGTATGAGATTTGTTTTCCTTATCCTTTTTTAAGTAAAAGGATGCTATCATGGTACTAACACCTCACGGGGAGAAGAAAATAAAATATAACCCAACTTGCTTTAGATGGGTTTACCCTTTTTCCCGCTTTGAAAAAGGCTAATTATTCATTTTTTAAAGGATTTTATTTATGAGAGAATGGGAGAGAGAGCATGAGAGGGGGGAGGGTCCGAGGGAGAAGCAGACTCCCTGCTCAGCAGGGAGCCTGATGTGGGACTCGATCCCGGGACTCCAGGATCATGACCTGAGCCAAAGGCAGTCGCTTAACCAACTGAGCCACCCAGGCATCCCCTAATTATTCATTTTTTGTAATAGCGGCAAACTGGAAACAATTCAAACATCTCAACTGGCGAATGGATAAACAAAATGTGATACATCCATAGAATGAAATAATACTCAGCAATAAAAATGAACTGATACATCTAACAACATGAATGAATTTCAGAATGATTATGCTGAGTGAAAAAATCCAGACACAGAGAGTACATGCCATACAATCTCATTTATATGAAATTCTAGAAAAGGCAAAACTAGTAATAGAAGGCAGATCAATGATTGCCAGGGGACAGGGGTAGGGAGAAGGGATTGACTGCAGAGAGACTCCAGGAAACATTTTAGAATGATAAAAATGCTCTTTATCATGGTTGTGGTGGTTGCATGACAGCACACATTTGTGTAAACTTGTTGAATTGTACACTTAAAGTTGGTGACTTATTTTAAGTAAATTAAAACTTCCAAGTTCACCCCTCAGGTTTAAAAAAATGCAAAATTTGAAAAGTATTTCCCTAAATGATAGAGCATTTGTATTTCATGGAGTCAAAGGTACCATTTGAATCTAAGACCACCAGGGACTCCTGGGTCACTCAGTTGGTTAAACATCTGCCTTCAGCTCAGGTCATGATCCCAGGGTCCTGGGATTGAGTCCCTCATCAGGCTCCCTGCTCAGTGGGGAGCCTGCTTCTCCCTCTGCCTGCCACTCCCCCTGCTTGTGTGTGCTCTCTCTCTCCCTCTCCCTGACAAATTAAAAAAACCTTAAAAAAAATCTTTAAAGGGCACCTGGGTGGCTCAGTTGGTTAAGCAACTGCCTTCGGCTCAGGTCATGATCCTGGAGTCCCGGGATCGAGTCCCACATGGGGCTCCCTGCTCAGCGGGGAATCTGCTTCTCCCTTGGACCCTCCCCCCTCTCATGCTCTCTCTCTCTATCTCATTCTCTCTCTCAAATAAATAAATAAAAAATCTTAAAAAAAATCTTTAAAAAGAAAAAAAAACAAAAAAAAATCTTAAAAAAAAACCACCATTATTTTACATAGCAAGAAAGAAAAAAATGCCCATTGAACTATGACACACCATCAATTTTAAGATTCATCCTGATTTTGGAGGTGTTAAAATATGGGGGGGATGGGCGCCTGGGTGGCTCAGTTGGTTAAGCGACTGCCTTCGGCTCAGGTCATGATCCTGGAGTCCCTGGATCGAGTCCTGCATCGGGCTCCCTGCTGGGCTGGGAGTCCGCTTCTCCCTCTGACCCTCCCTCCCCTCATGTGCTTTCTCTCTCTCTCATTCTCTCTCTCTCAAATAAATAAAATCTTTAAAAAAAATAAACAACAAAATTCAGCCAAATAAATTTGAAGATCTAATTGGCTTTATTAAGGGGTTCTTGAATTGGGCAGTATCCCTTCTAGCAAATAGAGAAATGCTCAGAAGAGCTGTACAAAATGGAAGGTTTTTATAGATAGGAGGGTGGGGCAAGGAAGTTATTAGCAAAAGGAAAGAAATGATCGTTTGAGGCCAGGACATCTTTCTGAGAGGAAAAGAAAGGTAGGGTGTTTATCATGCAGATTACCTCACTAGTGCTGATCAGGAAATTTCACCTTGACTGTTAAAAGGTCACATTCCTGGGATATGTTGAAACTGGAATTAAATCTTGGTTTGCTCTGTTGGGGGGGGGCAAGTGACTCCATATCAGGGTTTGTTTTTTTTTAAACACTTAACATAGTCATAGCTTCTAGGGATTAGGGTGTAGACAACTTTGGGGGGCATTATATTGTCTACCACACACTGTAAAGTTTCTTTTTTTTAAAAAAGATTTTATTTATTTATTTGACAGCACAAGCAGGGGGAGTGGCAGGCAGAGGGAGAGGGAGATGCAGGCTTCCCACTGAGCAAGGAGCCTGGTGCAGGGTTCAATCCCAGGACCCCGGGATCATGACCTGAGCCGAAGGCAGACGCTTAACCGACTAAGCCACCCAGGCGCCCCATGTAAAGTTTCTTTTTAATTAAACTTTTAATTAAGGTATAATACATGTACAGACAAGTGCACAAATAATAAATGTACAACTTGATAAATTTTCAGAGTGAACACACTCATGTAACTAGCACTGAGAGCAAGAAACAGTATTGCCAGCAATCTAGATGCCCCCTTTGTTTCCCTTCCAGGTCACTTCCTCTACCAAGAATACCACCCTCCTGACTTCTAACACCATTGGTTAATTTTCCCTGCTTAGAAGTTTATGTAAACTAAACTATATGGTGTGTATTCTTTATGTCTGGCTTCTTTCTCTTAACATTTATGACTAAGGGATTTGTTTATATTCTCATGTGTAGCTTTGAATTGTTCATTTTCATTGCTGTATAATATTCCATTGCATGAATCTACCACAGTGTATCCATTTCACTATTTGGGGTGCTGCTCTGAATATTCCAATACATATCATTTGGTGATCATATGTATGCATTTATATCAGATACATACCTAGCATTGGAATTGCTGGATCATAGAGTAAGCATATGTTCCATTTTAATAGAGGAAAAATTTTACTTGACCTGTTAAGATTCTTCTAGCTGACCTAAGAATTAAATTGACATAAGACAGAGTAATAGGAGAAAAAAGCCAGAGTTTTTTACATGTGCACAGAGGCCTAATAATAAAATTGAGACCCAAAGAAATGACCAAGACAGACAGCTTTTTTACTTTTTTGGCAAACAAATCTGTGAGGAATTGACAGGACAGTGAAAACTTATGTTTGGGGTGCCTGGGTGGCTCAATCAGTTAAGCAGCCTTCGGCTCAGGTCATGATCCCAGGGTCCTGGGATCGAGCCCCACATCGGCTCCCTGCTCAGCGGGGAGTCGGCTTCTCCCTCTCCCTCCTCGTCCCTGCTCATTCTCTCTGTGTCTCTCTCTCTCTGTGTCTCTCTCAAATGAATAAATAAAATCTTTAAAAAAAACTTATGCTTGGGGCGCCTGGGTGGCTCAGTCGGTTAAGCGGCTGCCTTCGGCTCAGGTCATGATCCTGGGGTCCTGGGACCGAGCCCCGCATCGGGCTCCCTGCTCAGCGGTGAGCCTGCTTCTCCCTCTCTGCCTGCCTCTCTGCTTACTTGTGCTGTCTCTCTATCTCTCTGTCAAATAAATAAAATAAAATCTTTAAAAAAACAAGCTTATGTTTGGGAGCTTCGATTAGTAAGGAATTCTAAACAGAATTTGGGTTGGGGCAGTAAACTTGTAAAAGTAACAAGACTTGTTTATACAACCTTCTTGTCTATGAAGTCTTTATTTCTGATGATAAGGATGTCTCTTTGCCTCCAGGTACAGGGAGGGTACCTTTCACATGGGAGATTTATTCCCTGCTTTCTGGAGAGAAAGGGAAGTCAGAATGTTCCTTGCACTGACTCTTTCTTAAGTAATTTTAATTCTAAATAGTCACTATGCCAAAGTGACACATCTGATGCAGCCTGCCCTTGGCTTGCACACTGCCAAAGAGCTTTCCAATGTGTTTGTACCATTTTACATTCTTTTTTTCCTAAATGTTTTATTTATTTATTTGACAGAGAGAGACAGCAAGAGAGGGAACACAAACAGGAGGAATGGGAGAGGGAGAAGCAGGCTTCCCGCGGAGCAGGGAGCCCGATGCGGGGCTCGATCCCAGGACCCTGGGATCGTGACCTGAGCTGAAGGCAGACGCTTAACGACTGAGCCACCCCGGCGCCCCATGTACCATTTTACATTCTTAATAGCCGTGTGTCAGTCCCAGTTGCTTCATACCCTTGCCAAAACTGGATAAGCATATAGTGGTAGCCCATTGTTGTTGTTGTTGTTGTTGTTAAGATTTTATTTATTTATTTGCCCGAG